TGCATCTGATTCGCGTAAAATATACAGGGTGTTCCATTTAAATTAAACAAGATATTGCCGCTTAAAGCTAGTAATTATTTAATATAAATTTTAGACACTCTGCATAAGGTATAATTATTTTTATCGTTGAAACACAAAATTTAGTATAGACAAAGACTTCAGTACAATATTTGGTTTTAAAAACTTAAATACGCCTAGAGAAATGAAGCATTAAAATTATTGTTACTGCGTTTTCACAAAATCGTAAATATTTCAAAAACGGTCAGATTAAAGTGCGGTAAACCTTAATCAATAATATATAATCAATCAAGTCAGTTTGTGTTGTTTCGGCAATTCTGGGATTCTCTTTTTCGTCGCTCGGTTAATACGGATTTCAACGGCGCACTGTGGGTTAAAGTGGGAAAGTAAGAGTGGTAATAAGTATATTCCTGGTTTTAAGAATTGTTTAGCTTCTAATCTTAAAAAAATGTGAATACTTCTTATTAAAAGAAGCAATAATAGTACCCTTATAGTACACATTAAATCTTTTTAGTACATTTTTGCTATACCGGAAGTCTCAAAAGTGGATCAACCTTATAACTTTTTTATTTTTTCAGATAAAAAAAAACGATATTTAGTATGTTAACATATGACATAAATCAGGATCGATTGACGTACTCAATTAGTTTCGGTCACTTCCTGTTTCACAGGAAATTACTACAACTTTTAATTTTTAATTAGTACCTTCGATATTATATTTATTTTAATTGATAGAAACTGTGACATTCTGAATAGATTGAGACACACACATATCATATGTCATTCTATTCAGAACTAAAATATCAAAACATATCATATGTTTTGATATTTCAGCTTAAAAAAATTGTATTTTAAATTTCAACCAAAGTGTTACTAGTATTAGACAATAATTATTTTTAGTTAAAAAAGTTAAAAAAGTTAAAAAATGCAACATAAATCAATTTAAGAACGATGTTTTAATTACCCCAAAGGTAATAAAACGGAACATTTTGAAATACAAATACTCAAAAAAATAATAAAATTAAAACCTGTTTTTTTTAAATGTCTGGTTATTTGTAAATAGACTGGTATAAAAATGTTATCGTTTACTAAACATTACATTACAGTCTGTTGCATCGACGACCTGGACATAGGAAATCCCATATAAATTTTTAAAATGATAAATAAGTTTTCCCCATTTTATTTTACAGATAAATTTTTTTGAAACTTTTTAAAGAACTCCTTAAAATAAAGCAAATTGTTTGGTTCGGTTATATAATTTTGAATGGTTAATACGGATTCGTTCTTGAGTTATGAGAGATACAAAAATACTAAATTAGACAAAAATTTAATACAATGCGTCTTAATACAAGGTTTAATACAAATCCTGCGGTTGCTATGGAAATTTAGCATACCCATCAAATTTAAATTAAAGTAGAGTTTATTTATTTGCAAAAGAAAAACTAGTAGATATAACTCTAATTCATTATTATTTCATTCATTAAGCATTTCTAAAGGTTACTGTTTACCACTTACATTTCAACTGTAGCCCTGTGTGCGGCGGTGTAACTCAACTCGGGTAATCCAGAGATCGGAAAAAAGATAGTCGGATACTCGAGAGTCTACTGTATTGAAATTTTAAAAACGTCAATATTTGGCATTTCAACTATTTTACCAAACTGGTATGAAAAAAACCGGTTAAACCATTATGTTACTCATATTTTACAGAAAACAATCCTTATCTAGTTTACGAGCATAGTTAACCTGATTTTAAAACGGAGTACAACCTAAATAATCAGGGTCTCACATGTAGGAGCAACAACCGTTTCAGCCCTGCCAAGCTACAAGACAAGGTCTGACAACACACATAGCTAAAGGTTGTCGCCCACTAGACCGCGGCGCGACGCGGCGCGGCGCCATGTGGAAATTTCTTTTGTCTGCTTGCCATGTATTTAAATGGACCAACGCACATTAGAGCGCGCAGCGCAGAAGCGCGCCGCGGGGTTTCCGTCAACAAGTCGAAAGACTTCTCTAGCAACTTTTTTCCGTCTCCCGCGTTTCGGCGCGTTGCAGTGTGCGTACTCACAAGGGAAATAATTTTGCATTCGAGTCTTTTCAGTTGGCTTTTTGACTAGGAACTAGTGATATGTATCAATGGCAGAATTGTATTTTTAAAGGTAAATTAGGCAAATCGATTTTCATAAAGGAATATGATATTTTTTTTAGTCTTCCCTCACTAGAGACAGATGGACGAAATGCCTTTCTATCAAAGATTTAATATAATTGAGGGGTGTAGAGGCAAAACTGGCAATCTCCACTTTTTAACAAAAGTGACAATCTCCAATTTTTAAATTCTAATTACCTAAATATATAAAAAAGATCAGGGTTTTTTTGACCACATAACTAATATACACATCAGAATAAATAAGAATTATCAAAAATATTAGTAATTTGTCTCTTCTGAAAAAATATGATGAGTAGATATACCCGGTGTTTTTTCTTCTAAAACCCTCAATTGAGGAGTGCGTAAAATGTTTCCTTTATATTTTGTAATACTGAAAAAAATGATTTTGTCTTTTATTAAATCTGGAAAAAGATGGTAAAATTCTCCAAACTTCTTTCTTTTTTGGTTAATCGTATGAGTCCAAACTTTTCCTCACCCCCTCTTCCTCTTCCTCTGTTAGAAGAGCACAAAAAATACGCTTTCGTCAGTACTTGAACTCATTGCTTTAAAAACTAAACTACAGTAAGTAAAAAACACTTCAACTATAACTAAATAGCGTTGCCGCGTTTCAAAAGCGCGCTATAGTGGGCGCAGTCCCTTCGCAGCCGGAAAAAATTCTCTTCCCAGCGCCGCGCCGCGCAGCGGTCTAGTGGGCGACAACCTTAAGACGGAAGAGAGACTGTCAGTTATCATTAGACAACTGACGAGGATTAAACGTAAAGGTACATTCAGGCTGAGAGCGTCGAGCGTCGCGTCGCGTTTGTGTCGCGTCCGCGTGTCGAAATGGAATCAATTCACTTAACTTTAGACCGTTCAGGCAGACAGCGTCGCGTTTGGCGTTGCGCTAGCGTCCGCTGAGCGTCGGGGTTCGAGTTCAAAGGGGCGGACGCGACGCAAACGCGACGCGACGCTTGACGCTCTCAGCCTGAATGTACCTTAACATTGGTGGGCCTCGAGCTGACAAAAGGAAGGTCCTGGCTACGGTTGCGTACTACACTAAATTGTACGCGTCCCCAATTTGAGAAACAGCCATTAAATATAAACATTATGAAGCAATGCTGTAAAGAATGAATAGACGCGTGGCCCTGCGTATCACCCCCGCATATCGCACTAGTCCAACCCAAGCGAAACTATTGCTAGCAAAAATATCACCGATTGCTCTTCTGCTAGAAGAAAGAAACTTGATTTATAAAAACGGGAGACTTCCGTGCGGAGGCCAGAAGATTTATGGATAAATAGCAAACAAGATGGGCCGAATACAATCGATGGACTAAGATTTTCATAAAGAACGTTAAATAAGGGACAAACAATAATCAGGGTAGACAATTATGTGACACAAACGTTGACCGGGCACGGGGTGTCTGGTACCTTTCAAGGATCGGCAAGGCTTCTCCCACCTGTTGGTATTGTGATGCTTTTCATTCACCTCTCGACACTGTGGAGTGGAGAGTACGCATACATGCGTATACGCGCTGAACTTGTATGTCAGGAACCCATAACTAGTGAGAACGTTGAAAAAAAAGGCTACGAAACAAAGAAAACAACATAACGCCTAGCATAGGCTGTCTTTGTCACTCACATTACTCAACTTCATAATTCCGTATTCCGTCGTCCATTTTGTCAACTTAGAAGCTGCCTAGCATGCCAATCAATATATCTTCGATTATTCGATTATTCAATATCTGGTAAGTTTGAAATTTCAAACAAATACTTTATTTATAAATACAATACATATTTTTGTTTCTTTAGATTAGCGAAGAACCGCTGATAGAACTTGCCTGGCAGCGTACCTGTGTAACTATCGGTATTATTTCCGGATAATAATTTCAAAACACGTAAGTACCTCTATAGTTTAAGGTAAAAAATGATTTATTTATTAAAAAATGATTTAAATTCTTTCTAGCCTATAATAGTACGATCCCCTTGTTTTTGTATAAAATACATAATAATATATCCAAATGTATGATTTGATAAAAGTATCTTTTAAAGCATTTATTTTTGTTGTTATATTATGCACGTTAGTTTGGTTTATATTTTATTCTGCTTATATTTATTTAGTATAATTAATTTATTTGCCGTTGGGACTGCGTGCATCGAGGCTAAGATAGTGTTTCATTAGGTCATTAAAGAAATTTAAATTAGCATAATATATTCTTTGTGATATTGGTGTGTTATGCAGCTTATTTATTATTACTTATGTATTATCAGTAAATAGATGATAAATATACTATTACAAAGTAATTTTCATAATATGTTTATCTTTCCGAATCACTAGTTATTCACAAAGTATTTTTGAACTAATGAAACTAACTCATTAATGATTATCTTTCTTTTTTAGGTTCCGGGATATTCTTCCCATTCTTAAAATATTAAATTATATACATATTTCAATATTATTATAATACAAATCGTAGCTTAAAAAATAAATAGTTGTTGACTAAATGTGCGTTTTATTTATGTATTATAAATTTTCTCTGAAAATAATAGTATTCTTCTTTAATATCACTGATTTGTTGTGGAAAGTTAATAAACAAATTTTTTAATATTTTAAATTATAATAAAGTAAATCTGCTTAAAAAGATTGCCCCTCCTCTAAGTCCCTCCCCTCCAGTTCCCCTCAATTTAGCTATTCCCTGGCTTAATTCAATATTATTTATTCGCTCAAAAATGGATCTATCGATACTTTTTAAACAGCGACATGCCTAGTTATCGACGTAAATGGTAATTTAATTTGAAATGAAAGAAAAATATAAATCAACGGCATGCTGCACATACTTACACGTCGATTCCAGCCTGAATAAATTAAAATTCCTTAAAAGGTAATCGTGCAGTGTAAGAAATTGCAAATTGAGTTTTGGCAAAGCCAAGCAGCCTTCCCCGGAAAAGTAGGCCGTAGGTACGATATTTTCGTCCCATATAATGGTCTCTGTAGGATACAAAGGCATTTCGTTGAGGGCTTCTAACTGAGATACTCGTCGTTCATGTCTAGATATCTGTAAACATTAAAAGCATGTGTTATATCTGTGGTATGCCATGAATAATTTTGTTTTTCAAACGTCACAAAAGTATTAATTTTTGCGACGACATTGACAATATAAAAAAGTCATTTTAACGCCTAGGCATAAAAGTAATGCACTTTTACGCCTAAGCATAAAACTCCGAAATATATTATTAAACCTCTGATAAAACCTTTGAATAAGAAGACTAAGGAAGGAGCATATCAAAAATCTTAGGTACACCGCGATGGGCCTCAAATATGGCCGACTTAAATTCCGGTTTATCAGTGTCGTTCTAATTTTATTTAAAAAATGTAAAACTATGATGTAGGGTAGACGTGGGGTAGACTCAATAATTTGTTGTTTTATTTTACGTTGTGAATAAATGGTGGTAGTTATTAAAATTGTTATAAATATATATTATTATAATAAAAATAGATAATTTTTAAAAATTACTTATTAATACAAACATCCGATACGCTACTGAAGCAGGTAAGTCAAATTGGTGTACCTAAATTCTTCTTAAAATCTAATTTGATCTAATCTTTGACAAGTAGTAAATAAAAGCAAAAATGCAAGAAAAAATAAATAATTAGTTAATTTAAGATAAAATCATAAATGAGATCGGTTTACTACACGTATGTATATTATATAGTCACTTACTAGCGAAAAGTTGTTCCATTATTTCACTCGATTTTTACCGAGATCTACCGCACGCTAAACAACCAACTATTTTAGAGTCTTTTTCGATAAATCGCGATAGTGTCACTGTGAATTTAAGTTCTGCCACAATTTCCATCTAGATTTACTACCTTTATACAACTATCAGTAGTAGAATAAATAACAAATGACATAAAATAAGCTCCGTAAAGACTGACAAATCTACAAAATTTCCAATCAAATTCAAATGTGTCATATGAATCGTTAAACAGAACTGTCAAGGATCCCCACCCTAGAGTCCTTTTTCCACCCACCATGCATGAATACATGGATAGCATTATGCTCCTTCCTTAGTCTTCTTATTCAAAGGATAAAACTAACAAAAAGTGTCAAATGTTTCCTTGTGTGCTCCTTCCTTAGTCTTCTTATTCAAAGGATAAAACTAACAAAAAGTGTCAATTTCAACAAGCGTAACCATAGTTTCTCGATGAAAGCACTTGTTTAAAAAAAAATTGTGACGTTTGAAAAAAAAGCGTGTTCTATTCGGAGTAAAAATGACTTTTTGTACCTCGTCAGTTATAAAAGTGTTTCCTCTTGTGAAGACAATCCGGAGACATACTGTATATAGTATATACAGGGTGAATCTTAAATAAGAGTAAATACTTTCAGGGGTGGTATATTTCGAACATTCAGGAACATGTCTATGAGATTTTTTCGCAAAAAAAGATGTTGAAAATCGTACATTTTCTTTTAAATTTTCCTGTATAATTTAGAAACATTTTTATAACTGCCTATTCGTCGCAAATTTTCCCCAGGTATAATTTGTTAATCTCTGCTACTACTATGGTTGAGGCACTAAAGGAGATGCAAATCCAGGAAAAATCCGGGGGCTCTCAAATTTTAAAATTATTAAATCATTTTTTTTTTAATTTTCAAACTTGAATAACTCCGTTATTTTGGACTTATTTAAAAAACGGTAAAGAGAAAATGTTTCTTTTATCGCGATCTACCAGCCCGGAAAATATTTGCACTTATATATACTATAATAGACATGATACAGACTATGATAACGATTGACTAAATACGCATTGTATAATGACAATTTCTTTGATAAATTACATTAACATGTTTTACTTGTCAACGTCATAGATTGATTAAACTGCTTCATAATACGATAATACTATAAAACAAATATTTTATCTCAATATTTTTTTTATAAAGATGCAGAATTAACAAATATCATAATACAAAATAAAAACTAATATAATTTACGAGTATACCGGGTCCGTCTCAAAAGTAGCTCACCCCTATAAACTTTTTATTTTATTAGATAAAAAAAATGAGATTTGGTATGTTAGTATATGACATAAATTAGGATTGATTGACGTATTCATTTGTTTTGGGTCACTTCCTGTTTCACCGGAAATTACTACAACTTTTCATTTTTAAATGGCATCCTCGATATATTTTTGCTTTATTCAATAGAAAATGACACTCTGAATAGAATGACATTTCATATGTCAACTTTTGACATTTTCCTTTAAAAAAATTCTATTCTAAATTTCAATGGCTGTGTGAAAAACGCTCATTTTTAATCAAGGAGCCTTAGAAAAATAGATTTGGTCGTCTATGTTTTTCGTGTCTTGTCCTGGCTGGTTAAAAGATGCCCAAATCGTATTTTTAATCATATATCAATTTTTTAAAACGGAACAAGAGTGGGTCATAAGTATATTTGGAAAAAGCATTTTGTACAAATAATTTGGTACCATACACTTTCGAGTCAGATTTTCGTTATGACTGCATGTTACAATTTCAGATAAACCATATGCGAAAATGCCAGAAGTTGACATATGATATGTCATTCTATTCAGAGTGTCATTTTCTATCCAATAAAGTAAAAAAACACCGAGAGTACATCCTAAAATCTTGTTCAGCTCGTAATAAAATTTTAATACCTATAGTTTAATAAAATTTCGAAATTTCTAAAAATACACCGTAAGGATTCAGCTATAAACATAAATACCGTTGATTACAAAATACGGAAAAAGCTATATAGAGTGTTTAAAAAATAAAAATACATATAAAACAACGATTAATATTTAAGCATAGAATTAATCCATGCCTAAACTGTTATCATAATATCATATGTCAATTATGAGGTGTCTTCTAGGAGAATCACCATTAAAAGTAAAAAGATATATATTGTCAAACCACACCTATATAAATATACTCTGTTTTTTTTTCTAAGGTAAGATTTCGACAGACGATGACAGAAAAAAGGCAGACGACGTCCATACCAATCTTTTATTTCGCTAAAAAAAGTTTCTAATCTAATATTTTTAAATCCGCCATGTCGTCTGTTGTTATTTTTAACCAGTTTTATTGGCTTATTCCAAAAATGACAGCTCATTTCAATATAATTGGAGTGACGGAACGATGAACGATGCAAGGACGCAGATGCTTATGAACTCGACTTCAGATTTTTGAGGCTTGTCAAATTATATGTTATAATTTTGTGCCAAATTATGTCAAATAATCTGCGTTTTGGAAGATAACGCATTCTGATTCCTGTTATTACGTGTGTTTTGTGTCTTTTGAAGTTAAGTGGAGGAAAAGTCGAAGGAAAATTAACTGTAGACCCAGGACCCAGAGTCGGTGTCCAGACTGTGCCCAGACTGAGAGTTTTATACACCAATAAAGTTTCTATACCATCTCGTATACAGCAGTAAAAACTGGAGTAGCTGTAAAATAACTACATCACACAACAGATAAATAAGTATAGTACTGTAGAAAAATAATGTGAAAAAGTACTGGTTTAAAAAAAAATAAGATTTATTTTTTTTTATTTATACCAACTTTTAAGGCATACAATTCAGTAAGTGTTATTAATAAAATATTTTGTTTTATTTATGTTGTGATTTACTTATTCCTGTGCAATTTTATTTGAACATAAGTTATATTGATAAATATATTAATAAATGCAGGAAGCTTCTTGAAGCTTGAAAGTCAGAAATAGTTCTTTTTTATATATTTTTTTTGGTATGTGGTGTTTTGTTTAAAATACACCCTTGTTTGTTTTGTATTAACACATACCTTATTTTTTTTAAATAAAATAACTCGATTAGATTTTTTCAGTTTTATACAGTTTTTTTCCACAATATTTTAAAGTAATCACTTGTCACTTAAATTTTAAATATATTATTTCCTGCTATGCGTTCCAATTGTACCAACTTATTTCTTTGTAAAATAAAATAAACTACGTTGACTGACACGTCTTTCACTGTCAAAGATTTTGTCATTCGACAGACTATAGAGAGTATCAATCTGATAATATCCATTAACCTTGAAAAAGGATAAATACAGAGCATTATAATTATTAAAACACAGATATTTAGGGTAGGTACTTATTATATAACACTATTAAGATAAGATTGTATCTATAACACTATTAAGATATACCACGTGATCAAATAAAAACGGCATTTTCATTTGGATTATACCGTACTATGATAATGCTTGAAAATGATTATCTATGACATTCTCCGTAAATATAATTTTACACATAAAAAGACAGCGATCTTCATTTCATAGCCATCGCTAACGCCGATTTTTTTTTCGATCATATCGTATAGGTACAATTGTCCTAATAATAATAACATAATATTATTCTCTTCAATATATGTATATGAATAATAGTATTTATACTAATAAATTTGATTACAAAAAAAAATAAAACTGGGTAGGTGGAGCAGTTTTATGTTTCACAATTAATCATTATAAGGTGCAACAGTTTGTACGGTGGTGCTATACTATAAAATGCAATAATAAAAACCTTTTTTTATATTATATTATTATCATAAACCAAATACTACTTTTTTTGTAAAAACGGCGGTATGTTTAGTTTTTGAAATTACCAGTTTTAAATAAATGTATTAAAATATGTATAAACGAATACTGTATATTATCTTAGCTTCTGATTCAGTATTTTCAATCAAATTATGTGGGTAACTTATATTAAAATTCAAATTATAAGATTACAAAATACTGTATATTTAAACTGAACCGAAGAGAGTGTTCCCATCAAAATATATTCATGTGTGTTAAAAATAGAAAAAAATAGATACATGACTATATATCCTGTGACACCCTGTATAACTGAATCTTTAGCTAGCTTTGATCTGCCGTACAAAATTCAGTCTGTGCGAAACGATCAAACCAAATGTTTGCAATGGGTGATATAGACTGAGTTTAAGTTTAATCTTCAACTGAAAGGTGTGTAGTACGTAGTTATTTTGTTAAGACTTGAATACTAATAAGATAAAAAGTCAATCATAAGCGACGTAGACGATAATTCAAAACAGGGAACTTTTACAAAGGATTATTTTTCTTTGTGTTTACTTCTTATTTGTTATCTTATATACAGAGTGACGTGAAATATAATAGAAGATACTTAATATTATATTACTTAAATAATCGTTTATCTAAAAACCACTCATAAATATAATCTCAGTACCTATGTATATTCTTCCGAGATATAAATATAGAAAAAAAAATAATTAGTTATTATCGCATTTTTAAAATTATTCGGATTCACAATGATGCTCGTCTTAGGTCATATGAATAAAATAAAAACAAAACCGGTATCTAATAGAAATTTTATATTTATTTGTTTCTGTAGAACTGGCATAGGATTTCGTCTTTACAAAAGGAAAAACTTTTCTTTTAACATTTTAAGAAAAATTATAACATTATAAAAGTTTTGCTAGTTCTAAAATTGATAATCCCGTTTATAAGTTTCTAAATTTCGATACCGTTTTAAAGACAAATAAATAAAATTAGAATACCGGGTGCGTCTCAAAAGTGACTCAACCCTATAACGTTTTTATTTTTTCAGATAAAAAACCAGATTTGGTATGTTAGTATATGACATAAATTAGGAATGATTTGACGTATTCAATTGTTTTTGGTCACTTCCTGTTTCAGCGGAAATAACTACCGTATGATCGAATAAAAACGGCGTCAGCGATGGCTATGAAATGAAGATCGCTGTCATTTTATATGTAAATTTATATAGGAAATGCCATCGATCGTCATTTCCAAGCCAACTGGACGCCGTTTTTATTCGATCATACGGTACAACTTTTGATTTTTAAATGTCACGCTCGGTATGCTTTTACTCTATTTAATGGAAAATGACACTCTGAAGAGAGTGACATATCATATGTCAACTTTTGACATTTTCGCTTACAAAAAAATCGTATTTTAAATTTCGTAGCGCCATGGCTGTATTAAAACACTTAATTTTTAATCAAGGATCCTTGGAAAAATAGATTTGATCAACTAATGTTTTTCGTGTCTTGTCCTGGCCGGTTAAAAGATCTCAATTTTGCAAATGGAACGAGGTTGGCTTATTAGCATATTCGGAAAAAAAACATTTTTTTACGAATTATTTGGTACCACACACTTGGTATTTCTAGTCAAATTGTCGTTATGAACCGCATGTTACAATTTCAAATAAACCATATGCGAAAATGTCAAAAGTTGACATGTGGATTTGTCATTTTATTCAGAGTGTCATTTTCTATCAAATAAATTAAAAAAATACCGAGAGTGTCATTTAAAAGCCAAAAGTTGTAGTTATTTCCGGTGAAACAGGAAGTAACCAAAAACAATTGAATACATCAATCAATCCTAATTTATATCATATATTAACATACCAAATCTCGTTTTTTATCTGAAAAACTAAAAAAAAAACTTATAGGGGTGAGCCACTTTTGAGACACACTCGGTATAATGCTATAAATTAAAATGCATTTCTTTGGTAATATCATTTCGTTTTCATACTTTGATCTATAATAATTATTATTATTTTTGATTAGCGATATTGTTTGCTGATTTAATATGTCAAAGAGCATAAGATAAAGACATAAGATTCTTTAACCTTCAACTATCAATTTATATATCGATGATCTAGTTTACAAATGTTGTAAGCACAAAAATGTATGTTTTGTGATATATAAATTTTAAAGTTTATAAGTTCTCCAAAATTCACGTTCTTGATTATACTTAAGTACTTAACACAGATGGCAGATGGCTCTGGCACCAACATAAGAATAAGAAAATGTTCGCCTAAATTATTTGTTTACTGGAAATGCACTACATATATACCACATATCTGTTTAGTTTTTCTCTTGGGTATGAGCACATATGAGGTTTAAACCGGGACCCCATTAGCCAACACCCGAAGCCATGCCACGCGATTCCACGCTATCCCACGTGTTGCGACGTGGGAATGGGTGTACACATTTTGTAACACGTGTTAACACGCCTGAAATTTTTATTAGAGTTAAAAAAGTTAACAGTAGGGTTACGAAAATATACTAGAAGTATCGATACCCATACCGATATTAGATTATAATCATAATACCAGTACACCAATATATTCAGAATCGAATATCGATATTTAATAAAATCAATCTTTTGTTGCCGATTTTTTCTGGATCTATTTTGTTATATCCGATATTGAATCGATTCGAAATATCGATTTATTATATTTTTGGGACATCCCTACATCAACTACAAAAGTAAATAGCTGTGGGACTAGAGAGGCAAGCGGGGGACAACGCGCCGTAACAATACACATCAGTGAGATCTAGGACTGACGAATCGCCCATCACACGTGTGATAGCGCGTTATGACGTCGGATAGCGTGGTGTGTTGCCTAGTGTGTACGCAATACATGTAATTAAATGGAAAACATACGCACAGATCTTCACGACGTGGGGTAGCAAGGCAACGCGTGGCGTGTTGGCTAATGGGGTCCCGGCATTATTGTGTTGATCAATGATTGAAAAAATCCCAATTGAAAAAGCACACCCAGGATTGGGCGAAACGTCGCATAATAAAAAAAAATCACAATTTTATCAACACAAAAAGCCGGAACCCCATTAGCCAACACCCGACGCGATGCCACGCTATCCCACGTGTTGCGACGTGGGAATGGGTGTACAGATTTTGTAACACGTGTTAACACGCCTGAAATTTTTATTAGAGTTAAAAAAGTTAACAGTAGAGTTACGCAAATATACTAGAAGTATCGATACCCATACCGATATTACATTATAATCATAATACCTTAACTTCGCAATCTCCATTAAACTTCTTTCCTTAATTTTTTATTATCAAATTTTAAAATAGAATTTCTAATAGAATTAGAATACAAATTCTATTATTAGAATTTGTATTCTTATTGATTGAACACTCAAAACATTTTTGTTTTCTATTGCATTCGAAAATATTTAATAAGATCAATCTTTCGTTGTCAATTTTTTCTGGATCTATTTTGTTATATCCGATGTTGAATCGATTCAAAATATCGATTTATTTTTGGGACATCCCTACATCAAATACAAAAGTAGATAGCTGCGGGAGTAGAGAGGCAAGCGGGGAACAACACGCCGCGCCGCGCCGGCGCCGTAACACATGTTGCCGTCGCGGTCTGTGAGATCTGGGGTGCAACTTTGTTCAAGTTAGCAACCGATCGATTAGAAGCGATGTCGAAACCAGATCGGTACTATGTTCATTGCAAAACTATTGTCGCTCAAATGCTGCGGAATATGGTATCACTATCACACTCTTGCACACGTGTCTAGACTGTCGTCTCGCCACAAAGCGAGAAATCAGAATATCGCTACGAATCGATGTTGCTACTGAACATAGTGCATCAAGCTACAAATTACTTTGCTATCGCTTTGAAACATGAACAAAGTTGCACCCCTGGTACCGACGAATCGACCATCACACGTGTCGTAGCGTGTTATAGCGTCGGATGTCGGATGGCGTGGCGTGTTGTCTAGTGTGTACGCAATACATGTAATTAAATGGAAAAACATACGCACAGATCTTCATGACGTGGGGTAGCATGGCATTGCGTGGCATAGCGTGTTGGCTAATGGGGTCCAGGCATTAACCCTATACCCAGGAAAAAAACTAAACTTATATTCTATATACAGGGTGTCCCAATATTCCGTGAACATAGAGCTACTACGTATTTTTGGAATCAAAATAAGTTAATTGAACACAATTAACCTCTATACAAAAGTGCTTCGTTTGTCCGCTAGAGGACATCAAATTTAAAAAAAAATAAACGCATGTTTTCGGATATTTTAAGAACCGTTATTCCGATATTTCTTAAAAAAATAGAAATAAGACAGGTTTTCCTCTTGTAAAGACGATCCGGGGACGTACTGTATAATAAAATTTAAAAAGTCATGGCGATTGAAAGTATGTTTTATGCGATTAAAATCTAATTACAACTGAACAACTACTAATGAACACAATACCAGTTTAGCATAAAACTGCTTTGAGCTAGTGATGGGAATACCGGTTCCACATGAGTCGCGTTACAGTAGCGACCGTTCCAGAAAAATACCGCGACGAAATAACGCTATTTTGTAATCGAGGTTCCGACTTCCACAGTGTCGCGGTCCTCGCTGATTATGGAGTATTTCTGGCATTAGTTACCTACTCCCAACCAGTGTTGTCAGGTTCTTAAAATTGTACCAGCTGTTACAAGCATTCGTGCCATCAACTTAGGTACAAGTGATATTGGAGATGGAGAATTACCCTCTATAAAACCGTCCCAGATACTGGCTTTTGTTAAAGCCCTGGGACTGTATGATTAGTTATAACTCAAGAAAGGGGAAGACAATAGATCTGTAAAGTCGCAGTGATTAACTCCCCTCCCACACATTTCTACATTCTACGACCTCAAAATACATTTTGATGAGATGTATTAACTTTTCCACCACTTTTTTTCACAAACTGCAACTACTCCCAACCTTGCCGTTATCTCTGTACCCGTGTAAATTCATAAACAATTTCATAGACAAATTTGTAAACAATACAGAATGACTAGAAGAATTTATGAAAGGTGGCAATACGTTAGGTTTCAATTTTAGAAATTAAACTATTAAATAAAATAAAAAAATTGGCGCCGGGAGGCACGTATAGCCGCCGCCCATACTAAAATATGTTAATATCTCGAAAACTGCGACTTTGACTGATTTTGATGTTATTACAAATTTTGTTGCAAATATTATACCTAATCTTAATTTGAAAACCGCGTTTCGCTAGCTACTGTAATTTTTAAATTTTTAACCCCCTCCTATACCCCCTTGCCAACACCCCACCCCCACCAAAAACTAATGGCCAGATTCTCGGGTGCCACAGTATTTTTGTGCCAAATTTGGTTAAAATCGGTTCAGCGTTTT